ACCCAAACCATTCTATGATTCTATGATTAACTTCACACCATGTATGTCCGCACTTAAGCTTGACAACATGTCCCCCTTTACAATCGTAAAAAGAATAGACATTTTTGAGTATAATACACCTGCTCTATTGTAAATGCTTATTTTTAGGATAAGATTATGCTTTTGAAGTATATACTTTTCTTCGCTAACTTTAAAGAGAACTTAGGGTGGTTGATCCAGATGTAAACAGCCACACTGGTGGAACAAACTACTTTTTCAGAAAGTCTTAAAACAGAATTAATAACAGAAAGTGTTGAAATAAGCCTTTGTTTCTTTTTAAGTCTTTGCAATGAATCTAGATATTTCCAAGCACTACCATGACATAATAAAATACATTCCTTCTATAACCAAATCACTAGTCCCCAGCTTCTTGCATTATACCCTTGTTTCTATTATACATATTAATTGTTATATGGTTCAACATCAGGAACATATAAGCAGTTCAACATTTCAAAATATCCATCAAACAGAAGAAAATGGAATTGAAGAGGAAAGGAAAATTTGGTTTTTTACATAAACCAAACAAATTTTCATATGAAGGATCTTCAGGACATGCTAGTTACCAACTAAAATTTGAAATCCATTTTGATACTGTTTATGACATTTCTTCTTCATAAAGAAAGATAAAACAATTAATTTGCTATAGAAATTGATCAGAACAAGAATTTTATCTGAAAGGTAACAAGATGGTAGCTCTAATGACTGCTTATTCTGTCTTTTTCCAGTTTCTTAGGAAGTGATTCTCTCTTTTCTGTCTTCAGGGGAAACTCCTGACATAATATTTGACAAAACACTAGAACTAATTTTACAGTTATGGCATCCTCAGATATCTTTTTTTTTTTTTTTCTTTCCAGAAAAGTAGTGGTTGTATGTATAACTATCAAAATATGTTACAGATGGAAAAAGTAAAGACTTTGTGATTACCTGTGTCCATTCATTAGTTTGAGGGTCATATGCTTCCATAGTGTTCAGGTATGTTTGACCGTCATAGCCACCTACTGCGTATAATTTGTCACCAAGAAGACAGACACCAACAGCATCTCGAGGCATATTCAGTGGAGCCACCATTGTCCATGTATCTGTTTTTGGATCATACCTGAGGAAAGAGTAAGGAAATTGAATGCCCGGGGAGAAGTTACGTGTCAATTCATGCTGATCTTCACTTGAATATAGTCCTTTTTTTCTAGAAAAAAAAAAAAAATCCTTTAGCATCGTATCCAAAGATATTTTTCCTAACAGCAAAAAGAAAACATACAGATATGTTGTGTTCCCATTCAAACCTCCAAATGTTGATTAGGAACATTTTCTCAGCTAACATTTTAGAATGAATTAAGGTCTTTGTGGGGTAAGGTGTAAAAAAGAGATTTGAGAAAGATGTAAGAGCAATATCTGGATGTATGTATATTTTTTTGGTGTATATTTTAAATAGGATATTTCTTGTAGCATATTAAAAATATTCTTTCTAAAATTACATTATCCTATATTTTAATTTCTAAAATTATACCATACAATGTTCACAGCGAGAAAACCTCCCTAAGAATTCATGGGATATCCTTAACTGCATTAGAGTTAGATTCTCCTCCTGATATTTCCTCAAGTGAGGAGAATAGTGAAGACAAATGAACACAGAATTTTTAAAACTGAGGGCAAAATTCCTTTTGTATAATGAGAGTCATTTAAAAATTAATCATTTAGCCTAAGCCATTAATTTAGATCTTCATTTACAATGTAAGAATTAGTTAATTCCAGAAGCCACTCCATTATATCTATTTTAGACATCTGTAAAACAGAAACTAATCACTTTTTGATAATGCCTTTCAGTTTGTTACTAAGGATATCTAGAGTATTAGGTTAATATAGATACCTCATTTTTAGGTGACAAATATTACTAAACCAGAATACTGTACCACAATATGACAGAATTAATTTAATCTGTCCTTAAGCATCTCTACTATGTAGCAGAATCACATGATAATAAGTGACTAACTTTAGTAATTTGCTTCAGTGTAAGGTAGATGACACTTTGGGCATGATAATTTCTATAAAATAGTTAGAAAGGAACTCTATAATGGCCAAAAATCTTATTTATTTACAAGTCTTCTGACTACTATGTTGTTATATAAAATTAGACATCACACTACTTTCTCCTACACCTTTAAGAGACAGTATTTGTTATAAGTTCATCTGTTTGGGAGGCAGTCAAGTTCTTTCAACATATTTGCTTGTAGTCTAAATTTAATTAACTAGAAGTTGATAATCTACAGAAAGTTGTATACACAAAAAGGAAAATTCTAGGCTTTTGCTACAAAAGATAAATTAAGAGAACCTATAACTGTTTCAGTCATTCATATTTTCAATGAGCAACTAGTAGGAATATTGTTTGAACTCCCACATTATATGTGAACAATGGAAAATTTTTAACTTTTTGAATAGAAATACTGCAACAGCAATGTTATAGTGCTTTTTTTGTAACTGCCTTTTCGTTCATAAATATGACCTTCAAATGGCACAATGAAAAAGTCTTTAACCTTGATTGAATTGTTCTTGACAGCTTAATACATTTTGGGGAAAAATTCTACTTATTTACTGGCTGCTTATCCTTCTGGCTTTATGAGGACTTCTCAAAAAATAAGGTGTTAAAAATTTGTGTTCAAGTTTTATGTCTAAAATACCATCAAATCGATTATGTTGTTCATTTTATTTCTTATTATTTGGAGTTAAATATCTAGATATATGATAAATGTCTTTTAACTTGAGAGGAAAATACTTTAAAACAATGCTTGAATATGTGGAAGGGAAATGTATATGTGACAAGCAAAAAAAAAAATTAATTTTAAATGGTTTTTTTCAAAGACTGTATGATTTTTTCAACAACATGTTGTATGCCTCTACCAGCGTGCATTGTATCTTCACCTGCCTAAAGGTAATAAATTTTAATAGACTTTGATATACTACTCTTGAATTACAAGGGCTAAGGTGAGGAGGTGCAAAAGCAAGGAAAGTAAACACAAGTGAGACCTTTGGACTTTCTTTTTTTTTTTTTTTTAATAAACAGATATGCAAGGCTAAACAGAGTTCTTATAATTCAATTCTGTCAACAAAAGAGAACTGCACGAGAACTGTTTTTTTGTAATTGCCAGGAAAATACCTTAGATTTCTTATATGTTTTCTTCTGCTAAAAACAACTGTACACTTCATTTTTATAGTAACTAGGTATGCCCTAGGGTGAGGAGGGTTACAATGAATGTTCCTGAATGTGGGAAGAAATCAATTTGAAATTAAGGTGAGATGAAGGGGGAAAACTATAGATCACTTTCTTATGCTTTTAATAGCTGTCAAGTTTTGAGTAATATCTGTAAAGAAAGCCAATTTATAAAATCTGCCAAATATCTCCAAAATTTTATATTTCTTAAAAAAGAAATAGTTATTTTATCTTTAAAAAGGAATACAACATTATATTTTCCCAGTTTGTGAAGACCAGACATATATAACTATTATTTTATTTTATTTTAGAATGCTTGAAATCAAGTTGCTGGAGAGAGTGCAGAGAAGGGCAATAAAGATGGTGAAAGGCCTAGAGAATAAGTCTTATGAAGAGCGGCTGAGGCAACTGGAGCTATTTAATCTTAAGAAAAGGAGGCTGAGAGGAGACCTTATTGGTCTCTACAACTACCTGAGAGGACGTTTCAGAGAGGTAGGTGCTGGTCTCTTATATATTAATGATAGAACAATAGGAATGGACTCAAGCTGCACCAGGGTAGATCTAGGCTAGACATTAGGAAAAATTATTTTGCTGAAAGTGTTGTCAGACATTGGAATAGGCTGCCCAGGGAGGTGGTTGAGTCACGATCCCCTAATATGTTTAAAGGTCATTTAGATGTGGTACTTGGAGATATGGTTTAGGGGTGTACTTGGTAGAGTAGCATTGATGGCTGGACTTGATGATCTCAAAGGTCTTTTCCAACCTGAATAACTCTATGATTCTATGATTTTTATGAATCCATAGGAAATCCTTTACAATTACATCAGCCTACATGCAGTAGAGATGGGAATGAGTCTAAGACTGAGCAAAGTCATATGGATAACATAAGGAGTAAATTTTAACTTATAATTTTTGGATTACGTATTGAGTAACTGGTAAATGCCAAGCCAGATTCAGCAGAAGAAATCACTGACATTTAATTAAATTTTAAGCCCTTCAGAAAATAAATAAATAAATAAATCTCTCCCAGCACCTATCTTTACTTGTATGTTAAGATAAACCAACTATTCATACATATCTACTTTAACCTTTGCAACATGTACATATTCGAAGAGTGTGTCTTCCTTATTCTATTTTAAAGCATACAGAAACAGAAAAAGTCAAACCTTCTTGAAACATTTGAAGAGTACCTGTAAATTGAATGCTATAATAATTCTACTGTGCCCTATTGCCCTATTATATATTCTTAAATTTGCAGAATATCTACTTGTAAAATACTGTAAGTATAATGTATAAGGCTTATATCAACACACCAGGAAGCGGCAGTATTGTTAAAGGAAGCAATGTCATGTACTTAAAATATCCATCACTTCAGCAGTTCTATACTTCTTCTTTGCTCAGCTACATTTTTAGAGTTACAAAATACTTCTAAACACAATTTGGTGTAATAAAATTATTTCAAGGTTGAATTTTTATCTCTGCAAACTTTAGTTTATGACTGCGATGCATAATGTTGTGCCTTAAAAACAAAGATTTCTTTGAGATGTGAAAAGCGTATTTTTGTGTCCATGGTAATATATAATAGTACTGTGAAAAAAAGGGGAAAGAAAACAACCTTCAAAGAAATTATCTTCTATAAAACACTATGGATTTTTTCAAGTAAATAATGATTTGGCATTTCTTGGAGTAAAAGCATCTGTTTAATTTTACCATCACTTAGCTAAGAAAATAATGCTACTGGACATTATTCTGTATTTAAAAAATGTAGGTATAATTGGATACCTTTCTACATAGTCCAGCAGTCTTGAACAATGGTTAGAAGCAGGAGCATCATGGCCTCCAACTGCATAAAGAAAGCCATCACATGTAGCCACTCCTACACCTCCTCTTCTCTTACACATAGGAGCACACATATTCCATTTATTTGTGTGAGGATCATAATATTCCATTGAACTCAAACATGAACTTCCATCCCGACCTCCAACTGAATATAACCTAAGAAAGTCCACACAAACAAAAATTGTTAATAAAACAAGAGCTGAGAACTGTAGAAACAAAATCAAGGAGCATCTGGTTTTTTACCTGACATCAGCAAACAGGAAAAAGAAAAATTATAATCTCTCAAAATCATGCAAATTTCATACGGTCAGCAAACACAGATGATTTTACTATTATTACCAAATTCACATACTACTTCGTGCTTTGCCACCTGAACAGAAAGGAAGATATTTTCTTTCTGGTAATGGATATTTTCATTCTTAGATTACAGAGTGCACTGCCAAGAGTGCCATAAGTAACATACAGATTTGTCTCTGTAGATTTATAAATCATGTAAGCAGGTTGCTGCCTAATTGCTCATCATCTGTGAGGTGGAAGTGAAAGTGCTAACTTATAATTGGTAATCAAGACAAACAAGAAATATGCAATCCATTTATTATAGTTTCTCTGTGTTTCTATTGTGCATCAAAGTAGTAGGAATTGGTCTGACAACTGCTGTCCTGTATTTTAATGTTCTATCTTGTATAATACTTTAATACTGAATAGATTCACAAGCTTCTAATTCTCCATTCCTGAAAAAAAAAAAAAAAGAGAGAAAAAAGTACTGCATAATCTCTGTATGCTGAAGTACAAACCAAATTAAAAACTGTAGTCAGTCTTTCATCTATTTTCCATACATAAAACTATCACTGGGTTGCTGATGTCCAGAATTAATTTTACACTTACAGTATAGTAGAGATCAAATATGCAGTGCTTTGCAGAAAAGAATATCGCATATATCTGTTTTTAAACATGGATTTTTAAAAAGTACTACCTCGGTTTCAAGGATCTTGGTTATACCGAAGAAAAGCCTTGCCCACACTAACATCAACATGTCTACTCAGAAAGTAAGAAAATGTTACCTCCAGGCACTGTCTGTTGATTTTCTTCATCAGAATTTATTATGAGTATTGATAAGTATTGAGGGAAGTCATGGAAAACTTCTGAAATTTTTTTAAATTTGAAATGGTAAAAGTGTGGTTTAACAAAAAATATGTTGTGTTTGTAACTGTCTGCAGGCAAGAAACTTGTTTCCTTCCCTCCTTTGTAATAGTTCCCAGAAGGAAATCGTCCTGATTATTCTTTCCCACTATTACCATGCTGCATTCATTTCTTACATGAATCCTTTTGCAGTCTGTTACCTTTTCTACAGTGCCTGGAGATTAACTAATAGAAATGCAGGCTATTTTAAAGTCCAACCACTGCGCAATTTAGGATGCAAAAGCTGTCTGTGTGAAGCAATTATTCATTTGGAAGCTTTTACCATCCTAAGCGCTCCATGAATTCAGAGCTACTTAAACGTGCATTTACCATTACGTTTTATTGGCATGGATGCTGATGAATAAGGAAGTACTGTACTACCACTAAATGTGTCACTGAAGCCACAGAATGTTTTGGTACTGCCTGAGAGACATACTTGTGCTCTGACTAAATTAGCCAGGAGATTCCTTACTCCTCTATGATAAAAGTTAAAGCAAATACACTTTTTTGCAACTATTTCCATGGATCCAGTCCTAAGACATTTATCTTTCTATATGATTATCAGATATCTACAGGTGGGATCCAATTTGAGATTAAGACACCTACATGTAAGTGTTAATCTGTGGGAGTCTACAGTGACTAGATGACTGTTATGGTCAGAGTAGTCAGCCGAGCCTAAAGAACAATTTAGTTCACCAGCCACAACCATAATTTTTTCTTCAGCAGAGAATTTAAACATGTGATCCAACTATATTTACATTAATATAAATGTAAATATAAGCATTTACTTGTAGGTGTCTGCAAGGATGTCATCTTTACTTTCAAAGATGGGACTTGGTTCAGCTGCCCATAGACAGTGATCACATGTTATTTGTGACATCTAGGGTATGGTACATTCCCTGCAGGCTGGCAGATATGACAAAGACTACACAGGAGAAACATATATGATTGCTGGAGATCAAGTAGGCTATCCTGAGGCAACTCTAATGCCAGTAAAAAATTACATGTCGATAAGTGAATTGATCCTTAAAAATGAAGAGTATGGTTAACAAATCTGAGATTTCCAAATAGATTTCTAAGTAAATATTTGGACACCTAAACAATTCACACAATTTTAAAAAATGCAAAGTACCAACACTTCTGCAGAGTTCAGTGTGAATAAACACGTGTTCACCTAGTCTAAATACCCACCGCCTTGTTTATTTCTTCTGGCATGAAAAGTTCTCATCTACTCCTTTGTCTTTCAACCGAAACAAATCTATAAGCCCATATTTCCACACTGGAAGTAAAGCACACTTTTGCATTCCTGTATTTCAATTAAGCCAGCTAGTAAAGTATAGCTAAAGGCATATAAAGAGACAGGAAATGCTGTTCAGAAGTAACTGACAAAAGTTTCAGCCACTGATTGGGAACACCAAGTTTTATTAAAATACTCTATGCTATTTGGAACAAAACAAAATTAATTTCCAAAATCAGATTTTGGATCTATCATTTTAGAGTTTGATTGTGTTTGAATCTCGACAAAGAATACCTCATAAGACTAACAATAATATTTTATTTTACAACGGTCTAGTTCAGACAAATAAAAGTTGGAAATCAAGTAACTGTTTCAAAGCTCTGGTTCTGTCTGAGCCTGAACACCTCAGTCAGGAATTTCTTCCACTCTTCAGTCATGTTTCCTAATCCATAGTCACAAAGACTGCAGTCTTTTATTGGTTTGTTAAATTCACATTGTTAATTTACAATATTATCTTAGTAATGTTACCTTACCTTTCATACTACTCCAACTAGCATTAAATGTATAACTTGATTTTTTTCTGTTTCTCCCAGATTACTGGTGTCTGTAGACTTCTTATAGATGTCATATCTCTTAATAGCTTTTGAGTACCTACAGTACTGTAAGACTTCTATTTTCAACATTGCATGATTAAAAAGAAAGCTTGAAAAATAATCACAAACACTTCCACATTATAGTCATATCTTCATTCATTTTTAGTTGGGAATATTCTGTTAACTGAATTGCACCTCACTGTGTATCCCATTAAAACTGTTGGGATTTCTATTATAATTATCACTATTTAGAAAGGATTATTGACAAGGAAAAGAAAGCATCCAGTACTGAGTAACTTTATCTCCACTGGTCACAGTGAAAGTTTTGCCTGTGGAGAAGTTATCTATTCCCTAATGGTCTATATTTCAGCTCATTCAGGCACTGTGCGTAGATATGAATTTAGACCAAACTCAGTCTCCTCTGAGCTGGAAATTTGTCTTTTCAGGGCTTGGTCACTTCTTTTTGTATTAAGATGGATAGGGATTCCTAAACATTTGTGTATATGTATATGTATATGTATATGCATAAAACGGCTAGAAAATGCAGTAGGGGTTTCGAAGTAGGAGACATAGGGAGAAACATGACCAGCTGGATCAAAAGCATTTATCCCAGTGCTATCATTACCAACCTTTGAGAACTAATCAGAAAAGCAATTTTTAGATTCAGTTTGACAAGCCAACCTCAAAAGACCTGATTGCCTTTGATATGAGGTAGTATGGCTTGTGAAAACAGTTGAATCACGCCTGTGCTGCACTTCTTAATGAGATTTTGCCTTTCAAAATTCTTTCACTGTGAATATCAAAGATCATATCCAGTCTTTTGCTTAGGCCCCTTTGTACCCTTTTCTGCCCTTGCAGTGTGCCTGAAAAAGCAACAGAGAATTACTCTGGCACAAAGGATAACTGCCTGGTAGAAGTGAGGGGAAGGTAATAGTTTTCATCAGTGCCAGACATCTGTATTGCTCAATCTGTACCTGAACTAGGTGGAATCAGACTGTAGGAGAGGAAAGATGTCTATCCATGCTGCCTTGGTTATGCCAATGAAAAGTAGTTCACTGACAAAAGTTGAAAGAATGATCGAAAGCATTGATGAAATATTATTTCTGTGTGTAAATTTGGAATGCTATTTCATGTACTTGATGTAATAATGCAGTAGTGGAGTAAATGAAAAATACATACAGTTTGACCACAAAAAAAAAGTGAAGAAAAAAAAAGTGAAGAAAAAAAAAGTCATAGAGTAAGTGGCTGCCATTAAAGAGATAGCAATTACAGATAGAAAATACTGAGAGAAATATACCCTTTGCATGGAGAATATCATTACAGCAATGTTCTGATTCCTATACTAGAAAGTATAGTTTCCTAACAGAAAGAACTTTTTTCAAGTAAATTTAGTTCTGATCAAGTTATATGGGCTATATTATCTCTGCAAGACCAGTGACCGAATGCAGATTCCACCAGCGAAAAATGTTCCTAACTCTATCAGGCTATAAGATAGTTAAGGTAAAATAGCCTTGTAAATTAATAATTTACTACAGCATGAGCTTAGAGCCCTTTATTTGCTCTCTTATTTATTAAAAACAAACAGTGAATCTGTCATTAAATAAGAAACTGTTATTGAATTCACAGAGTTACTTTGTGCTACACTGAGCTAATGTACTTATAATATTTGTCTTCTTTGTGAGTTGAATAATTTTACCCCATACAGCTGTTCCTTTTTGTTCTGTCTCTGCATCAATTTATTGCATGACTTTGACTAAAATAATAAAAAATATATGCACCTGTTTGTAGTTTCTACAGTTAAGGAAGAATATTTTTAATATGTGTCCTCTTTTTCCCATAGCAGGAGGCATAATAATTGTGTTTCTGAGAAAAGAGTTTGATCAAAAGGAGCAGTTGATAAACAGCACATTTATAAAACATCAGCAGTGTCAAAACTATCATAAAATAATCCGAAATAACTTCTACAGGATTTAGACTAAGGTATAGATTTATCTATTTGTTCAAGTACATTTAGAGCAAAATATAGTAAGAACAGAGACTAAATTTAAGAAGTTTGTACAAAAAAATTCTAAGGCTGATAACTTGTTATTCTTTGCAATATGTTTGTCATTCTTCCCATCGCAAAAGGGTTTTATAAAATTAGTTAC